GCTGAGCTTCATTCAAAGGATCCAATGCAACAACAATGGCCTTTAACTCTGAAACCCCCAATTCCATAAACCCTAATTCTCAAAACTTGAAATACTCCAAACCCTAGATTCTTCCATCACTTCAATTTATTTATAATAAAAAAAGGAGGTTCGAAGTATCTGTACCGAAGAAACAATTATTTGGCGGGTAAGTTTCATGGATCCGCCATTGTTGACCCTGTCCGTCGCGGTCATCTTCGTTTTGTGCTCCGTGATCGTCGAGTCGCAGCGAATTGTGGATCGGCCGCCGCCGCTGGTGTTCTCACCGCGGCCTCCGCCGTCTCCGCCCTTATTTCCGTCGCGTCCGCTCCGACCACCGCCACCCCCTCGGCGGCACACGCGCCTCCATCTGCCGCCACCTCCTCGGCGGCGCACGCGACTCCATCTGCCGCCGCCGCCGCCCCACAGGCGGCACGATCCCCAAATGAAACCGCCCCCACCGCGGAGAAAGCCGGACCTCAACTTGGGGAAGAAGATCGGGCTGACGTTCATAGGAGTTGCGATGGTGCTCCAAGTCTGCGTTGTTGGCTTCTTGCTTATAAGCAGACGGAGATTTTTGAAGCACGAAAACCTTCGCTAATAGAAGGAAGACTAGAAGGAAAAAACGTACCTTGATTTTACCCAATTGAATATGTATTCACAGGTAACTTTATCATCTTTTATGTTAATGTTGCTGGTGCTTTGGTTCATTTGCTAATGCTGATATTGCTATGAGCTGATTCGGGTTTTTCGTGATCGAAATTGCTTTAACAATTTGAAAGTCATCTGGTTATAAATTTGAAGTTAACTGGACTTACAAATAGATATTCAAGTGTTGGCTTCAAACTCAAGGGAGATACTACGATCTCATTACGAAACAATTTGTAACTGTTATATTCTCATGTAACCGTCAGTGATAGTTAGATCATCTTTCTACTTCCACATAATAATCATATTTCACAATTGGCCGATGCATTTTCTTTATTGCCTACTCATGAGAATTTTTTCATTGGTTTTGCAGGTGATGGAAGATGAATGAATGACTTGTACATGACGTTTTATTTGCATTTGATTCGGACAGCTGACGAAACGTAGGAGAAAAAATGGTTTGTGCATACTATATTAGTCACAGCTATAAAAAAGTTTATTTGTCTATATGATTTGTTCGAATTGCTTCACCTGTAGCTAGAAGCTTGTCAAAGGAGAAACATGGATGTGAATACCATTAGTGGAAGGCTCAAAGCTTCAAAAGCTCATTTGTGCATATGATTGTGTAGTTTATTAGTTTAGCTAAGCAAATTGTTAATACTCAAAACTTTTTACTCAACTTCATTATCCTCAATAACATTAATTTTGATTCATTGTTCATCAACTCATACAATCGTAAAATTACAACTATTTTTTTCAAAATTAATTCTGACTAACCAAAAAAACTCGTTTTGAACGGATATATTTTATCGAAGCACGCCCTAAAGCTTCGACTACACTAATTTGAAATCAATTTCTGGGCAACAAATTCAGAACCAATTTCAGGGCACCAAATTCTGCTTTCTACCCACACAATCAATTCAAGAAGAGTGAACAGTAGTTCAATAAACTACGACAAACAACCGACAAAGAGGTAGTAACTATGACACAAACAACCGACAAAGAGGTAGTAACTGGTGACTGAGTCATCGTGTCTTCATCTTCGAATAGTGTATGCCATTACTGAGTCTTTATGGATCATTTTTTCGTCAAAAACCAGCATGAACATTGCCTATAAGCTATTTACCCTTTCCAAATTCAGTGTAGAGAAATCAAACAAGAAAGATCAAATCCCCCTAATCAAAGATATGGAAAAACATTCACACTTTCCTACCAATGGCACTGCATATCGTGAAATGAATATAATAAGCTCAAGTGTTGTAGATTCTAACCGAACACCTTACCTGCTGCCTGCAGAGAGGACATTTTGGGGAGGACTCGCGCACGACCATCAATGCACAGCGGTGGCAGCAGAATGCGAATAGCTAGAGAACCGAAAACCAGTCCGCTCCACATTAGCACATTACTCTTGAAGGAAAATTCAGCTACCATTTGATCCTTGCTCATAGCAGACCTACAAGCACAGCACGACTGTGTAGTCATATTCTAGTGAAATCTCAGTCTCAGCTATAAAATCTCCGCGCCCGCTCACGCTTCGCTGACCTATTGCGTGGCTTCCATCTTTAAATTCAGGTTCCGACTCAATCGGCTGGAAATGACAAAACAAGATTTTGTTGGAGTTGAAAATGAAACAGACGAGAATGTGTTGCTATTTTTAATCAAATACATTCTGATTGATAATAGCACTAAAACGCGTCAATCATAGCACTGCGTACAATTAAAAATAGCGGTTCTCAAGGTTCTCACACTAGCACTTGGTTCTCATTTGAACCACATCATATGTTTATATATCTATATATATATAAAAAGAATTACCATTTTTTAAAAATAGAAGTCAAATTCTGGTCAAATATCAATTAGCATTAATTACATTTCATAGTTAATAACTTCTTTTTTTTTTTTTCAAAAAAATCAGCATTAAACGCTACCCTAAAATTATGGTTAATTTTCTTTCAAAAAATCGTGCTACAAAGAAACAATATTACATACCATAAATTCTTGGCCAACTAAAGTGTTTTGTTTGAAAACTATTATATTTTAAATAAAACTAATTACGGTTGATTTAATCTTGAAATGGTACAACAATTTTATTTTTTTTTAATATGCACCCTAAATTTATATATTTTGTGGATTTAATTTATGTAAATTTCGACTGATGCAAAGATCAATTTTCTTTCTCTATTTTTATTAAAAAAACTTATTAAAATAAAATCAAGAATTTCAAATTAGGCAAAATACTATCACATATATCTTTTACTAATTGCAACAAATCAATTATTTATTATAAAAATCGAATTGCATAGTCGGCATGACAATTTTGTAAAAGTCAAAATTCTTTCATTTTTTTATTAAAAAAAATCTATTTACCATACAATCGAGAATTTTGAATTCGACAAACACTATAACATGTATCTTTACCTAACTGTAGCAAATCATGTTTATTAAAAAAAATTGGATTACATAAAAATCGGGCCAAATTTCAAATTAAAATTTAAAAATCTTTTATCATTTGATTACTACTTTATTTAATTCGGACTTTTTTTAAACATAAAATAAAGTCATATAATATTAATTTGAAATTCAAAATGAAATCTGATTGTAATATCTTAAAAATTTGGATTTTGTTTAATTATCTAGAATACAAATTTGAAATTGATTGACTACACTTACAAAATAAATAATGATTTCATACACTTACAAAATATCGTATATATTATGCTAAATAATTTAGTCGATTTATTTAAGACTATCTACAATCTTAATATAATTTGTGGCGATAGACAATGTACCAAAAGACCAAACAAATAATTTTGTGTACAATGATGTGTTTAATAATATATAACGTTACATTGTGTTTCATTTCAATATATGTATTGTTTCATTTCAATATATGTATTTTACGTTCTTCCAATCATCCAAATTTAACTGCTTACCTTAATAAAACTAGCTCGTGCATCGCACGGGTACCGCACTAGTATATATATAAAGTGACAACCTATTTAGCAACAGCATTAACAAAAAAGCCAATCAACATTTATTACATGTTATTTTTGGCCTTTTTTTTGCCTTTTAATTTATACGCAAAAAACGGTCAGCCTTAATTGTTGTACCCTAAATTGCTAGGATTCCTGGATTTAATTTAGGTTATTTTGGATTGATGTTCACGATTTTCTAGAACTCAAATTTGCATGCAAAATCATGTATCATTTCGTGTTTCAAATTTAAAATGTTAAATTCCTGATCATTTGGTTACCATAAAATCAAAATTATTCTATGACATCGAACTTTTTCCTAATTGCAACAGATTTTGAGTTATCTTTTGGGACGATAAAGGCATATTTGAATGTACAATATTTAAAATCCTTATAAATTATGAAAAATGCATATTTTGATTTCTTTCTAAAATAAAATGCTTGTAAGATATATTTCATTGCAGAGTATGTTAAATAAACTATAAATCCTTATAATGCAAATTAGAAAAATCTTGATTATAAAATGGATTGAGTTTTTGGCATTTGTTAAATCAAAGTTGTTTAATTAATATATAAAATTAAATTCTAAATGCGTATTTTTTGTAAAATATTTATACACTATTTAATTTTTAATTTTTTTACATATTTAAATTGATTACGTAAGTAAATAATACTAGCGCGCATCAAATAATTTTCATGATGTGAAGAAGAATAAGTAAAATTGTTTTTTCTCTTATATCAACAAATAAATATATACTAGAATCAAACTTTTATTAGTATAAATTTGTTAGTGAGATAATATATTAATTACTTTACAAGCTAATGAGAATATTTTTATATTTAATGTTCTGGCTAAAAACCAACGGTGGTTAAATGAGGTGAAATATAGATTATAACCTTATTGTTTTTTAGACTTAAAACTGATTAAAAGAGGTGGATATAAATTATAACTCTATTTTTTTAGACTTAAACAAATAGAGTCTGTGAAAATAACTCATTTAATATCTATGTCATGTGCATCACGCGGGCTACGTACTAGTGATCATTAAATCATTCTTAAGGAATTAGGGGATTGAGGAAAGTAGGAAACAAATATTGAAGGCAATTTTGCATATTAGAGCATGCATTCACAAAATATGAAACAATTACATTAATATATTATTGCGATAATATACAATTTCTTCAACAATTGTGTTACCATATGAATGATGATTAATCATATCTGAAATTCAATCACATAGTTGGCATAACCA